GCTATTGTGACACCAGATGTAATTGGTGGCACTGACTGGGGAAATGGGCACAGTATGCACTGTGAGCCTGACACAGAAGCTGGCAGCAGTGGCAGACAACTGACTGCTGTTCAATCTATAACAGTGAAAAAAGTTTTTTTTTTTAAATCCAAGCTATTGTGACACCAGATGTATTTGGTGGCACTGACTGGGGAAATGGGCACAGTATGCACTGTAAGCCTGACACAGAAGCTGGCAGCAGTGGCAGACAACTGACTGCTATTCAATCTATAACAGTGAAAAAAGTTTTTTGTTTTTAAATCCAAGCTATTGTGACACCAGATGTAAGTGGTGGCATTGACTGAAATGGGCACTGTGAATACAGCACACAGAAGCTGGCAGCAGTGGCAAGACAACGGGCCATTTCACATTACACTTAGAAAAAAAAATCCAAAAAGCATACCCTTATCCCTAACCTAGCTATGCTTTTCCTATCTTATGAACAGCAGCTACACTTTTCCCTACTTACTAAGCATGCAGCTTGAGAATGAATCTAAAATGGATGCCTTCCAGGAGGTGGGAGGGTCTGCTAGGGAGGGTGTGCTGCTAATTAGCTGGAATGTGTCTGCTGACTGTGAGGTACAGGGTCAAAGTTTACTCAATGATGACGAATAGGGGGCGGGTCGAACCGCGCATATGTTCGCCCGCCGTGGCGAACATGCTATGTTCGCCAGGAACCGTTCGCCGGCGAACCGTTCGGTACATCACTATTTATGGGTTTAAATTTTGAGCACTTACTATATCTGATGTAGTTATGGGTATGTTATCAATTGTTTACATGCCTGTAATATGTATTGCACTTTCTTTGTATGACTTTAACTAATTCACTTTATGGATAAAAATCTTTTTATGTGCAATTTACTCTGGTATGCTTTGGGTTTATTTTCTATTATTTTTATGGATCTGGTGGGGGAACAGATTTTTCAATAAAACACCCAGCACTTTCCTACCACACTATTCACCAAATTACTCATATTGGTTGAGCATGCACTATATTTTTGTATGCAAAAACATTTATAAATTAGCTTGGTTACACCACCTTGGCTTTAAATCAGACAACAGGTCCTGTTCCTTCCTGCTTTGGTTAAGCTAAACTCAAGAGGTAGCAGTTGCCCAGAGCACCTACCTTGCAAAGACTTCTTAATGGAGTGACAGTGCTGCTTTAAGTACATTAGTTCTTTTATTGGTTTATTTTTTCATTTTACTATTTTCATATTTTGAATCCATTATCAATATGATACATTTCCAAGTAGTACTGAAATCCTGTATTATTATTAATATTATTTATAAAGCACCAACAATTTCTGTAGCGCTGTCCAATGTGTGGACTAACAGATAAGTATTTGTAACCAGACGAGTTGGACAAACAGAGGGATTGAGGGCCCTGCTCAATGAACATACATGCTAGAGGGAGTTGGGTAATGTGACACAAAAGGTAAGAGTAGGGTAGAAAAGTAGGAAGTATCAGGATCTTAAATTGCGAGCTATATCTTACATGAAGCCAGTGTACGGACTGACAAAAGGGGGAGGTGTGGGCGGACAGGAAGATAAGCCTCGTCGCCTCATTCATTATACGCTGTAATGGGGCAAACTATGACCTTCATTATTAAGAGAAGGCAACTTACATTGAGAAAATTAGACTCTGAAATTACTGATTTAAAGAAAGATTGTGAAAGATTGAAAACAGAAAAAGAGTTCATTGAATTATCATACAAGCTTGGAGAGAGATTAGATAAGTTAGAATATGAAGTGGTAGAAGTAAAACAGAAAAAATATAAAAGAGACATAGTCGACTATAAAACAAAGACAGCATACACTAAGAAGAAACCATTTTTTAATAGAAGAGAGAATTCTCTACACAACAATAAATGGAGGACGTATCCTCAAAATGTTAGGAAAGATTTTCATGGATCATCATTTCCTCCTAGACATAATAATAATATGGGAATAAAAAGGAATTATGAACGTCCCCCAGTAAATAAGTGGCAAAATGAGAGAAGCCAAAATTACCAACATAATAGTTACCAATTCAAAAGAAATTATGGTAGAGATAGTACACTTGAAGAAAACTCTCTTTTTACGCATAATCGATTTGAGGCATTGACAAATGAAAATAACCACTCTTCTCCTTCACCTTTTTTAGAGAGGAGAACCAGGAAGAGGTTTATACAATCTCCTCCACCCTTAAACAAAAGGTTCAAGAAAAAATTAGTGGAAGGAGAAGAGGGGGGAAAGAGAGTAAATAAGAAAAATAGAAAGAATTTAATTAACGAACAAGGAAAACAAGAGCAATCACAAAAAACAAGTATAACTCAAATCCCAAAAGGTATTTTTAATATATCTAAAAAGGTTTTAAAAGTGGAACAGTTAGAACTATTAGCAAAAGGCTTAAAATTTGCGCCTACAAAGGGAATAGACAAATTTAAATTTTACGTGGATTTACAAAAATTTATGAGAAAGCTATGTTTAAAAAAAACATTTTTATAAAGAAGCAAACAATATTTTAACTCCTTTAAAGTCAGAGACTTATTTATACGATGAAGTTATACACACTAATTTAAAAGAAAAATCTGTGTTTTTTCCAAAATGGCATTCATCAGACGAAATGACTACTTTTCAGAATATAGTGAATAAAGAAATCCAAAGATTGAAACCATTGAACAAATATCAATTAAATCTTTCATTACAGGAACAAAAAGCATTAAAAGAATTGAGACAAGACAAGGAAATAGTTATTAAGCCGGCAGACAAGGGGGGGGGGGCACAGTAATTATGGATAAAGAATACTATCTTGAGGAAGCCTATAATTTGTTAGGTGATCAGGTAACTTATTTAAAATTAAATAAGGACCCAACAAATGATATAAAAAAGAAATTTAATTTATTAATAACCCAAGGATTTGAAACAGGCATCCTAAGTAAATCTGAAAGGGACTATATAAATATAAAATTTGAAAAAATCCCAGTATTCTACTTCCTACCTAAGGTCCACAAAAGTATCAAAAAAAACCCTGGCCGTCCGATAGTTTCGGGCATTAATTCGGTTTCATGCAGACTATCTGAGTATGTAGATTATATGCTCCAACCACTGGTTCAAAAAACACCTTCGTATCTAAAAGATACTACAAGTATACTTCAGATATTAAGTGAAATTACGTGGGAAGATGACTATTTATTAATCACAGCAGATGTGGCTTCCCTTTATACGAGTATAAAACATGATTTAGGTGTACAGGCAGTAGAGCATTTTCTAAAATTTTCCTCTTCATATCCACCACAACAAATTGAATTTATTTTAAAATCGATATCTCTTATTTTAGAGAATAATTACTTTTGGTTTCAGGGAGATTTTTATCTTCAACTATGCGGCACGGCTATGGGCACCAAGTTCGCCCCCAGCTACGCCAATCTCTTTATGGCTTATTGGGAATATATCCATATTGAGGAGGGCTATGGCGGGGGGTCGAACTTGGTGCTATATAAAAGATACATAGACGATCTCATTATAATTTGGAAGGGTGGAGAAGAATCATTCCATAGATTTATGGAGATACTCAATTCAAACCAATGGGGTATACAATTAACTTCGGAAGTCAGTAGTAGGGAGATTAATTTTTTGGATCTCACAATATATATAGAGAATAATAAAATAAAAACAAAAACTTTCTTTAAGCCAGTGGATGTGAACAGCTACATCCAACACACAAGTTGTCATTTTAGTCCATGGCTAAATAATGTGCCAAGCAGTCAATTAATTAGGATGAAAAGAAACTGCACAGAAGAAATAATTTTTCTAGAACAAAGCCAAAAGATTATTAAAGATTTTAAAGAACGTGGGTATAAGGAAGGTTTTTTTAAATGAAGCTAAAAGAAAAGTAGACAAATTAGAAAGAAATGAGATTTTAAAGTATAAGGAGAAGAAGAAAAATAATACGGTGCCGAATATCCCATTTATATGTCAGTTCTCGGGAGGACATAATTATAAAGTGCGTAATATTATTAAGAAACATTGGCCAATACTCAGGGATGATCCCATTTTGAATGATATTTTAACAGATACATCTACAATTATACATAAAGGAGTTCCCAATTTAAATACAATTTTAGTTAAAAATGTTTTAGATGAACCACACCAACAGGAGAATTTTTTAAATCAACAACAGGTTTTTTTTAGATGTGGGTATTGTAGTACGTGCAAAAAAATAGGAAGTGAAAAGCAACATGTTAAGGATTTTACTGTCAATAATATCACATACCGAATAAAGGAAGGTATAACATGTAGTTCCAAAAACGTTATATACCTACTTACCTGTACGTGTGGTCTACATTATGTAGGACGAACGACGAGACCGTTATACACACGTATAGGTGAGCATGTCTATAACATAAAGAGGAAATATGCGCTACACCAAGTGTCAGCACACTTTGCACAACACCATCAGGCTGATTTTACACAATTATGTTTTATTGCAATCCAACGAATCTCGAGAACATGGAGGGGAGGGGATTTTATAGAAAAAATAGGGAAGGCTGAGATGCAATGGATTTTTACTTTAAATACTATGGTTCCATATGGCCTGAATAATGACTTTGAAATTTGCCATTTTTTAAAATAATGAATCATATGTATATTTATTTTTTTATATATTTTTTTTTTATATATTTTTCATTTTATATGAATACATTTTTAAATTAATTATAGCCTACGGACATACCAGTCTGAAAGTGCCTGATCTCGTCAGATCTCAGAAGTCATGCAGACTTGGGCCTGCTTAGTACTTGTATGGGAGACCAACTAGGAACCTCAGGAAGCCGTATAATTTTAATTAAATTTATTTATTTATTTATTTATTTTTTTTAATATACACTTTTATCCTTCAATGTTTTATAACTGCTTTTCAAAAGCATTTTTAAATTAATTGTTTTTTTTAAACTTATCAATTTTTTCCAATTCATCAATTATTTTTTGAACCTCAGATTTTCATGCTCTCAGTTCTATTCCTATTTTGTTTCACAATTATATTGTTCACATTTATATGGATGATAAGTCTTTTTGTGATTGCACTTTTTTGTGATTGCACTTTGTTATGCACCTTTCCCACTGGGACACTCTCTGATAAATAATTACCACTGTTGATTCTAATTATTATTACATTTTATTCATGTTTTATCTATTATATTGTGTTTGCCAAAACTACAATAAGAGTAAGTCTTGAGATATGCCAATTAATAGTTCTCTCTTTTTATCCTTTTTAGGCAATATTGCTTTAAATCATAATTAAATTTAAATCTTAATCAATATTAATATGCTGTGTATCTTTGTGATTTTGTGATTCTATCAATGCCTTTTTGCTGTTCAATTTTGCCATGTTATTTATTTTTCTGCCATGAACAATCCTTTAAAGAGTCTTAAATGAGTCTTTAATGACAGATGTAGATTTGAATCCAAGTCCCATTAAACTTTATGTCAAGATATTTAGTTAATTTAATTGAACAATTGGACTTTTTCAATTGAATTAGTGATAAACCAATCATGAGGGATTGTTGCCCTATTTAAGCCCACAACCAAGATGAAGGTTGTGAGCACGTCCTGAGGAAGCCGATTGGCGAAACGCGTTGACGTCATACAAAGGGGGAGGAGCTTACAGACCACGGAGTCCGGAGGCGTTTGTTTTCTGGCAGCAGACAATACACGAGGAGATTCTCTAGCAGCCGAACAGGAAGAACGCCGGACGAGCAGCCTACCACCCTAATGATTGAACTCTGATAGTGAGTTGACATATATGTGTCAAACTCACCACCTTATCTAGTAAGGGGCTTGTCACCCTATTTTTTATCATCATTTTTTATTATTCTATTTTATGTATATATGTACTGCTTTTTCTGCATGTGGCAGATAATAAATTTATGTCAGCTTTTTCCTATTGGGGTTTCACCAAATATTTCTTAAAGTGATACTTCACAATTTATGAATTGTTACAAGTATATATGCTTTATATTTTTTATACAATCTGCACTATCATTGCTTTTTTTCCCTTTTTTCTTTACATATATACCATTATTGCTGGAAGTTACACTTAAAATCGAAACCAGTTTGTATATATATATTCTTTCTTCTGTCTTATATATGGTATAAATTGCTCCACTCACTAGCACACATTACTTTCTCTTTTTGGTGGAGTTTTGGGATTACACCAGAGTGTGAAGCAATTTTGAAAACTATTTTGAAAACTATTTAGCACCCAGGTTACATCTGTTCGTATTGTAATGGGGCAAGTTGGGAACACGTAAGACCACTGAGAAGCGGATTACAGTAGTCAAGGCGAGAGAGGACAGCAGCATGGACAAGCACCTTTGCCGTATCAGGCGTTAAATAGGGTCGGAGGCGCGCTATCAGGATAACTGTAGATGCCCAAAACGCAGAACTTAAGTAGATGTAAAGTAAATACCTAAGACATATTACCGGGCCTTAGAATGGCAGGATTTAACATATAGAGACAAAAAGTCACAAGACAGAGAAAAATCAAGACAAAGTAATAACGTGAACAATGAACAAAGTAATAACGCAAACAGGTCAAGAAATGGAGATATCAGAATAGTCAGGAGCCAAGCCAAAGGAATACAGAGATCGGATAGTCAAAAAAGGGAGCCAAGTTCAGATACACAAGAAATCAATACAAGGAACGCGCTCTCGGATAACCCACTGGAAACCACGGCAGGGCACAGAGCAATAGACAGAGCAGGCTTTTATATATTAAGGTGCTCCCTGATTGGCTACTGGGAAGCACCTGACAATGGGCGTGAGAATATACTAAGATTTAAAAACTGTGACCTGGCACTTTAAGGGTTAAAATAAAAACCCCTTAAAGTGTTCAGAGCTGCAGCATCTCTAATGTTCATAGACCCGGCCGCTGTGAAAGGATTTGGACCCAGCACTATGTGAGTGATGGACGGCATTTCCATAGCCACGTGGGAATGCCACCGTACCGTGACATGCCCGTGCCAGGCGACCAGGTAGGAAAGAGATCGCCTGACAAGAGAGGACACAGCGGGCTGCGTGACACGTGCGTTATTTTTGAGATAGAAGTGACAGGATTTGGCGATTGATTGGACATGAGGGGTGAAGGAGAGGTTGGAGTCAAAGACAACACCTAGGCAGTGAGCCTTAGTGGTAGAGTGGATGGTGGCGCAATTGACTTGGAAGGACACAGACAAGGGAGAAGCAATACTTTAGGGAGGAAAGACCAGTAGTTCTGTTTTAGACAGGTTCAGTTTAAGGAAATGAGTAGCCATCCAGTTGGAAATAGCAGAGAGGCAGTCAGAGACACAAGTCAACGGGGGTGGCGAGAAATCAGTGGAGGATAGATAAATTTGCGTGTCATCCACATATAAATGATACTGGAAGCCAAAGGAGCTGATGAGTTTACCAAGGAAGGCAGTGTAGCTTGAGAACAATAGGGGACCAAGGACAGACCCTTGGGGAACACCAACAGAGAGGGATTGGATAAAAGAGGCAGAGCCTGAAAAAGAAACACTGAATAAGCGATGGGAGAGGTAGGAACAGGGCCGGTGCAAGGATTTTTGCCGCCCTAGGCAAAAGTAAAGTTTGCCGCCCCCTCTCCCCTATGTGACATCACAATGCCCCACCCATATGATCTGCCATGTTAACTAACGCCAGTGCTGCAGTGCCGCTGTGTTTACATTAAAAGGCCTGCGGGGATAGGCTATAGACACCAGAACCACTACATTAATCTGCAGTGGTTCTGGGGACTATAGTGTTTCTTTAAAGTGAGGTAAATTAGAGATTAGTGCCACGAATAATATACTAGATAGCCTACTTACAACCAGATGAGGATGATGATGGGCTCTAGCTGCTGTCTGGCTCCACTGGTCTGGTGTAGAACAGGCTCTCTGGAGAGGCGGTTTGTAACTGTGGTCACAAAAATCAATGTTCTGGGAGAACGGGAAGCAGCTCCATTTTTTGGGGGGCCCTTTACACAGCTCAAGGTCTGGGTCCCAGGGTCCATCTTCATGTTCCACCAATGAGTTTGTTCACAGGGGGTGGAGTGTGTAGGGGATGTCCTGATGTGTGTAAGGAATGCATTGTGTGAATCTGTGTTTGTATGTGTAAGGGCTGCAAGGTGTGTTTGTGTATGTATGGGATGCAGTGTGTGCATCTGTAAGGGATGCATTGAGTGTGTGTAAGGGGTGCATTGAGTGTGTGTAATGAATGCATTGTGTGTTTCTGTGTGTGTAAGGGATGCATTGCTTGTGTATGTGTGTCTGTGTGTGTGTAATGCATTGTGTGTTTTTCTGTGTGCAAGGGGTGCATTGTGTGTGTGTGATGGATGTCAATCTCCCCCCCCCGTCAATTTCCTTCTCCTCCTCCCCCGTCAATTTCCTTCTTCTCCCACCCTCTTCAATTTCCTTCTTCTCCCCCTCTCCAATTTCCTTCTCCCTCCTCTCCAATTTCCTTCTCCCTCCTCTCCAGTTTCCTTCTCCCCCCCTCCAATTTCCTTCTCCCCCCCTCTCCAATTTCCTTCTTCTCCCCCCTCTCCAATTTCTTTATCCCCCCTGCCACTGTTGTAGCGTGGCCAAGCTCTGTATGGTCCGCGGGTACAGGGAGCTTTTGTTTCCTGTACCCGGCCGGACTAAAAGGAAGTGCACACTCCTGTTAATCCGGCCGGGTACAGGAGACAGATGCTCCCTGTACCCGTGGTCCATACAGAGCTCGGCCACGCTACAGTTAGCGCTTCCCTCCTGTCAGCCCCTCTCCTCATGCTGCGCCCGGGCATTTCTCAGTCATTTCTCACTTGATTTGTGAATAAAATCCACACTTAGTTGTCCCCTAGCCACTTGCCCCCTTCCCCCCCCCTGAATTTTTCAGCTTGTTCTGCAAATTTTCGTGTGAAATTGAAAATACAGTGCAATGCCGGCGCTGTGTGTGGAGAGAGACAGGGACAGGAAGCTGCATCTTATCCCTGCTTCTCTCTGCTGACTGAAACCGCAGGGGAGCAACACATGCAGCCAGCAGAGACAGCCTACAGATCAGGTAAGTGAGGGATAGGGGGAGACAGCCTACAGATCAGGTAAGTGAGGGATGGGGGGAGACAGCCTACAGATCAGGTAAGTGAGGGATGGGGGGAGACAGCCTACAGATCAGGTAAGTGAGGGATGGGGGGGATCAGGTAAGTGAGGATGGGGGACAGCCTACAGATCAGGTAGAGTGAGGGATGGGGAGACAGCCTACAGATCAGGTAAGTGAGGGATGGGGAGACAGCCTACAGATCATACAGATCAGGTAAGTGAGGGATGGGGAGACAGCCTACAGATCAGGTAAGTGAGGGATGGGGGGACAGCCTACAGATCAGGTAAGTGAGGGATGGGGGGACAGCCTACAGATCAGGAAGTGAGGCATGGGGGGCAGAAATAGCCTACAGATCAGGGAAGTGAGGCATATGGTGGGGGAGGGGGGGCAGAGGTAGCCTACAGATCATCGACGTGAGGCATGGGGGGGCAGAGATAGCCTACAGATCAGGTAAGTAAGGGATGGGGGAGGTAAAGTAAGAGAAGGAGAAGGAATAGAAACGAGGAAAAAGGGGCAGCAAGGATCTGGAAGGGACAGCAAGGACCACAACAGGTAAAGTAGGAGAAGGAGCACAAAGGAAAACAAATGAGGACCCAGGAAGGGTCTGCAAGGAGCACGAAGGGTCTGCAAGGAGAAGGAAGGGTCAACAAGGAGAAGGAAGGGTCAACAAGGAGCAGGAAGGGTCAGCAAGGAGCTGGAAGGTAAAGCAGCACAAAGGTAAAGTAGAAGGAAC